GACAATATGTCCAAAGTATGAGAGACAAAGCTTAGCCATCCTGGCCTCCAAGGAGCACTCTGGCTGCACTTCTTCCAAAATAGATCTATTGGTTCTTTTGTCCTCAGTACCAGAGATGAAATCTGGCCATCCTGGCTTCTAATGAATGTTCTGGCTATACATATTCCAACACAGATTATTTTGTTCTTCTACCCATGAATGACACATTTAATATTCTCCTCCAACACCATAACTCAAATACATCAATTCTTCTATAGTTTTGCTTAACCACTGTTCAACTTGCACATTATGAAGCTATTGAAAATACCATGGCTTGATTCAGGCACACCTTAGTCTTCAAACTGACATCTTTGCTCTCAAACACTTTAAAGAAGTCTTAAGCAGCAGATTTGCTAATGCAATATGTCTGATTTCTTTTTATTTTAATGTTTTATTGTGAATTATGTGATAGTTTACATGGGAGAACATTAGCTTTACATTCATCCTATTGTATATCGTTCCAGTGCCATGTTTACAATCCTCTCCATGCATCATCAACTAGCCAAAGGATATACCCTGCAAGCCTTTCCCTCTGGGTATAGAGTCCCCAGCCGTTCTCCCTCTCCACATCATCACCTCTGCCTCCATCTCTGGTGTCACTGCTTCTCTGGGTAGGGTCCCGCACTCCGTTCTTCTCCCTTGATGGTCCCAGGGACCTCCGCTCCTGGACTGCAAAGTCAACCACTCCCCTAATTTTGCTACAAAATGTCTACCTTTACGTATCCAACCCTTGCAATTAGTCCTGATAACAATTATTCAATATTATGCCACATAAAAGCCATCCCCATCTCCTTTCGTCAGCCCCGCCTAGACAGATTGGATATTACTCCGTGGAGATTCTGACTTCCTTTTATTATTGATCATTTGGACCTCTTTCTGCAGGTTCTGAATTGTTTCCAATGCTGTATCTATCTTATTTGATTGTTCCTGTAGCACTTTTCTGACTTCTTATTTTTCTCAACTCCATTTTCAAGTGTTTTGAAACATTTTATAATCATTATTCTGAATTCCTTCTCAGGCATTTCCAAGACCTGCCTTCCTTCCAGAATGTAGTCCAGGTCTA